TATACTATATAGATTTATACAAAAGTGTATAATTATTACTATTTTTAGTAAATATTATAATATAGAGTAATAATAATTATTATAATAATAGTAATAATTATATACTTCTGCATTATTAATAATGCAAAAGTATAAAAAAACATGTATTTTGATAAAAAAATAAACATAAATTCTTAATAATAAATAAAAATATTACATAAATATTATAATTAAAATAATTATGTTATACATAAATAAAAATTAATTGTTAAAAAAACAATTATGATTACAAAGATACAGATACGTATATATCTGTATCCGTATCTGTATCGGACGACTCTTCAAATGACTCCACGCTTTTTTCGACATCGGCCCGTTGTTCGACATCGGTCCGTTGTTTGACATCGGCCTGTTGTTGTTCCGTTCCATTTATCTGTATGAACGAAATTTTTAAATATTAGACAACTACCTGAATCACTATGATATGTTATCTTACTTGGGTCCTTAGCTTTCGGATTCTTTGTCTGGTGGCCTTGAAAACAGCCTGCATATGACGGGAAAACATTGCTACCCTTTTATTTTCCTCGCATCCACAAAATAAATTACATTTACAATTTACAATCACAAAATTGTACAATACAAAGAACGTTTTTTTCTAAATGTAACATTACTCCTGCATATTAATATGACAACTTTATACATGTTGGCTGTTTTAGTTCTTTAGCTGGATTTATACCTACACTTACCTTTGATTATCAAACACAAACACAAATAATTACTTCCTCATGAAATTTTCCTGGTTTGTTCTATGATTTCCTTCTCGTCGCAAACTACGTAGTATATATAAATTTTAGGGTTAGAAGCAGACTGTTAGAAGACTATTGCGCATGTGTAGTACACACAACATGTGTACTGTAATACGAGGGTATGTCGAATGATACCTACAGGTGTGGTAACCAAACTTTCATAATAATATTGTGAAAGTTTGGTTACCACATATTATGATATTCAGCCGTATTCACTAAGCAAATTAATTTGCTTTTCGTCTTAGGTGCTGTATGGGTACATTTGTTTGAATTTATCTTAATTACAAAATGACATAATTAACAATTATTAATAATTATAATTATAATTAATTATTATTGTTAATTGGGTCATTTTGTAATTAAGATAAATTCAAAGATGTAATTAAGGTAAATGCAAATAAATGTATACATCGCTATAGCGACTTAAGTCATATATATACAAACATTTTTGTATACATGTATGATGCATCGCTATAGCGTAAATTCCACGGCCGTGAACAAAATGCGGATCCACGTAAACTTCACCAAGATTCACATTAACTTAATGGGTTAATAAATTCCACGGTCGTGAACTGGAAGTGAATCAATCGTGGATCCAGGCGAAGTTCACAAAACTTCACATCAGCGTCATTTCATAAATTCCACGGCCGTGAACTGGATGTGAATAAAAAGTGGATCCACGCAAAGTTCATGTCAACTTCATTTAGTAAATTCCACGGCCATGAACTGGAAGTGTATCAATCGTGGATCCAGGCGAAGTTCACATAACTTCACATCAGCTTCATTTCATAAATTCCACGGCCGTGAACTGGATGTGAATAAAAAGTGGATCCACGCAAAGTTCATGTCAACTTTATTTAGTAAATTCCACGGCCATGAACTGGAAGTGAATCAATCGTGGATCCAGGCGAAGTTCACATAACTTCACATCAGCGTCATTTCAAAAATTCCACGGCCGTGAACTGGATGTGAATAAAAAGTGGATCCACGCAAACTTCACGTCAACTTCATTTAGTAAATTCCACGGCCGTGAACTGGAAGTGAATCAATCGTGGATCCAGGCGAAGTTCACATAACTTCACATCATCGTCATTTCATGAATTCCACGGCCGTGAATTGGATGTGAATAAAAAGTGGATCCACGCAAAGTTCATGTCAACTTCATTTAGTAAATTCCACGGCCATGAACTGGAAGTGAATCAATCGTGGATCCAGGCGAAGTTCACATAACTTCACATCAGCGTCATTTCAAAAATTCCACGGCCCTGAACTGAATGTGAATCAATTGTGAATTCACGCGAAGTTCACATTAACTTCATTTCGTAAATTCCACGACCTGAACTGAATGTGAATAAATCGTGGATCCATGCGCGCTTCAGTTGGGTTCACATTCGCGTCATTTAGTTAAATCCACGGCTGTGAACTCCATATGAACCCCTTCTGAATTCACGCGGACTTCACATGGACTCACATTTGCATCATTTGGTAAAATTCACGGCTGTGAACCGAATGTGAATCAGTTGTGGATTCACGAATGTTGACTGGGAATAATTTTTTTCTAATATCGCTAGACGATAGTTTGTAATAATAATAATAATAAGTAACTTTATTGTTAAATTAATGTAACAATAGGCGAAGTTCAGCCACAAGGCTGCTGTTCTTCCACTTAACCTAGCTTAACAAATAAACTGTAGGTACTTATTCTAGCTACAGGCAAATAAATTTGTGCAATCAAAATAAGATACATAAACTGTTGCAGTTAGACTGCGTATAAACATATTGAAATATAATAAAGAGAATTTTATGATTAGCATAAATTAAAAAAGTTGTCAAAAATTAATTGTTTTAATTTGTTTTTAAAAAGTAAAATTGAGCATGCTTTCAAATTGTTAGGTAACAGGTTATAAAAAAATGCGATATTATAGCTAAAACTTCTTTGATAAATATCGATAGAATCGATAATTCGATAGTTTTTAAAATATCGAAACTATCGATAGACTATCGATAATATCGCTACCTCTAGTATACAGACTATAGTCATAATTTTTTATAGAAACGGAAAAATGATTTTAGCTCAACTAGTGATGGAAAAAACGGTTTCCAATCCGGAACGTACCAAATCGTTCCGTTCCTAAAAAATCACGTACCAAAATCACGTGATTTCGGAACGTAGGGTAAATGATTTCACAATACATGCGAGTGGAATCCACGACACGACGTTGCTGGGCTGCATTTTGTCTGGCGCGCACCATAACAAATTTAATACCAAAATTAAATATTGTAACTTTTGCTATACACTATAAGGTTGAAGGAGGTCCCTACACTATCAATACTATTGCACAATATGTTGTATTAAGCAATTTAGTTAACAGTGTGACAATATTGCCTAATTTATTTATAGGGTCTAGGGACCCCTTTAATACACAAAAACCTGTTCATTCCTTGAATATTTTGTCTAATCTCTAATAAAGATTCTCTATTAAGAAAAAACCTTCTTAGTAACTTTTGGTATTATAGTTTAATAATATTAGGTATATTGGATTCCATCTACCCTACCTAACAAACTTAATTTTGTATGCATCGTTCCAGTGGAGGATTCCACCCGCCCAGCTCAGGTCGGGGCGCTGCGAAAGTCGAAAAAGAAACGAAACGAGGCAACTGCGCCTTTAAACAGTTCCGACGTTAGCGACGTTCGTTCTGTTCCATGTTTCACGTCGTTCCCTTCCCACTCGCTCCGTTCACTCATTCGATGGTCGGATTCTCTGTTTCTTTTCTGTTCGATCCGCTGTCACTTCGTTCCGATATATTTAGGAACGTTCTGGAACGTGATTTAAAAATAACGTTCCAAAATCACGTTATCAAAATCACGACCCATCACTAAGCTCAACTAATTAGCGAATAATTAACTACAAATTTTGAAATGAGCTAAAAAAATGCTTTTTATTTTTTTTCATCGAAAACCGTTAGTCGTACGAAAAATGGTCAAGAAATCAAATTTGCCCTAAAATGAAGGGAGATTTAAAAATAATTTTTATTTTAAAAAATAGCAGTGGCGTGCATAATATTTTTCCAAAAATATCTAGACCACATCCTGTACGGACGCCACTGGTAAAAAAAATAAAAAATCTTCTACATCAAAAACCTACTGTTCATGCTTAGAAGGCTTGTGCCAAATTTTATTAAAATATCTAGGAAGTTATTAATGTTATGATAAAAAACGATTTTTTTATTAAAACTTTAACACCCTGTAACTCAAAAATTAAGAGGTTTAGGTCATAGGTTTATTTGAACTTTTTTTCTTAAAATCAACTAAGAATTCACACCGTTAAGGTTCAGCATCTTATTCTGAAACACCCGCTATACTTTGTAAAACACGTTAGTATTATGCCCTTTGAAGGCCTAACTTAAAAATGATGTCTCTCGTAGAAACATAATTTGCATATAGAAGTTTATATATCAAATAATAGTTAAATATCAGTACTTTAACGTGATATACTCAAAATTATAAAACAACGTTGCTTCTTCAATTTTTTAAAAAAATTTAGAATTAAATTGTCCCCAGCGCACCCTGTATGTTAAAATCTAAATAAAAATAACACGTGGATTTATTGCCATCAATAAGGTCTACATTTTTTCTTAATTTTAAATCGATACGTTTTTAAATAAAAATGTTATTACAACATATCGAAATTTATCTATTTTTAACACAGTTACGTTTTTAAATAAAAATGTTATTACAACATATCGAAATTTATCTATTTTTAACACAGTAGAGTGCCTTAAGGCATGAAAACCAAAGCGGTCAATGGATGACATTTTTTTTAATGCACCATATAGATGTAGAAACAAGGTTAAAAAAATATATTTAATGCTGGCATCACTTGCAAACAAATGTCCAAAATTTGTTCGATTTTTACGCGAAACCCTAGTTAAGTAATTATTTTTTTACAACATTTTTGTAATATAAAATTTTCTATAATTATAATACATAATTCTAAATACGAATTGAATTTTCAATACAATATCAACATCTTTTGCATTAATTTTTTTTAAATGGTTTTATTCAACATTTTTGTTTTTAAAATAGTAGTTGTATTCTTAATTGAATAAGCTTAAAAAAAATTAACGTACCCTTCAATTTAAAAAAAAGGTTAAATAATAATATATTGTATTTTTTTTCAATTTAAATTAAAATTAAAATGTATTTCATTATAGGACCTATGGTTTATGGTACTGCCTTTTGTCCAATAAATGAATCAACATTATTAGTGGACTTGGAATGCGCTGATTCTAAAGCACTAACCGAAGAGAAACGAGACAATATATTCGAAAAATTGTGTAACGCTTCAAACAAAATAGGATGGGCGGTAGAAGTAATAGCACCCAACACAATTTGCAACAGTATGTTGAGCCGTTCAAAATATTCATTAAATCAGGTATCAATGGATGCTGCTATTGGGTTGATAAGGGCTGCTGTGAATTGTGGTGTTAAAATTGAACATGTTTATGTTGACACTGTCGGTCCTCCAGAAAAATATCAGGCTTACTTGAAGTCCATATTTCCTAAGCTTAAAATTAAAGTGGCTAAAAAGGCTGATTCAACTTACCCTATTGTATCGGCTGCTAGTATTTGCGCAAAAGTTACTAGAGATCATGCATTGCAAGTTTGGAAGTTTCAGGAGGGACTTGAATTATCACATAAAGAGTTTGGAAGTGGATATCCTGGTGGTAAGTGCATTTTTTACTTATTGGATTTGGTATTTGTGCTCTTAAACTACTAATAATTTAAGCATAAAATATGCTTTCAGATTTTAAAAGTAATCCAATGAAATAAAAAACTACAAAGAAAAATTAATGCGTTTTTTTGCAGATCCATTGACCAAAAAGTTTTTAGTGGATAACTGTGATCCAGTGTTTGGTTTTCCTCAATTGGTAAGATTTAGTTGGTCCACTGCAAGTAAAGCCCTGGAAAATACCGCATATCACGTAGAATGGGAGGATGTAGACGAGGAAACCACGCCACCTGCGAATACAACATCAATAACATCCTTTTTTCAAATGACTAATAATAAGAGTACCACCAAAACAGAACACAGCTTTTTTACTCAAAGAGGTTTATCCAGGAAAGTAGAGCTTTAATTTTTTTTCCTACTGTTTATTGATGTAGCAAACTAAGTCACTTTTATAATTACAAATCTTATACTTTTAATATCAAAGGTAAAAGACTTTCCTATTTTCAAAAAAATCATAACTTGTATTTATTATCAAAATAATTCTTCAGTAATTAATAAATAATGTGCATAATGTTTATAAATGTACTTTTTGTAAAATTAATTTTTTCTACTCCCACCTTTAAAACGCCCTTTATCGTACATGTTTCCATGACACTAAGTGACCTTTTTTAAATACACATCGACAAGTTGTGGCTTTACGGCGCTTTGGTCACGGGCTGAAGTTAGCAACAGGTTTTTAGTCACGGTCTGAAGTTAGTTTTAAGCTAGTTGACAGTTGTCAAATGTCATACAATCGTTAAAATATAGTGCCTTATAAAATAATACTAAATGTGAAAATTATTTTATTATCTCAATACAAAAATACAAAAATATTAAATAGTTTCTCAACGCCAATATTTGAAAAGTTTATATGAACATTGTACTGACCTTTTAATTTTGCCGGCAGTAAACTATAACTTAAATTCGGGCACGGACTCTACTGTAAAGTCCTCATAAAACATTTCCTTTACTTTCACTGTGGAAAACTGTCAATTTTCAAGATACATTTCGATTTATAACCTTTATAATTGTGTTTATAAAATGTAAAAATGTGACATTTGACAGTTTCCCCTGTTGTTTCATAGATGGCGCTCTTTACAAATTTTTGATTTAAATCATTTTAAGATAATTTGTATTTGTCGTAGAAAAAGTATAGTATGCACCTCGTTTATAAAATTTTATATACACTCATTAACTTAAGCACTCGCTCGCAAGCTCGCTCGTGCCTAAATTAAATTCGTGTATAAAATGGCGTTTATCAAACTTGATACATGATATACTATTATAAATTAAATTGTAGTTTCAAAAATTTGATCCTATACTATTAGTTATATATTTATTCGTTAAAGGCACAGTCTTATATAAAACCATGTTTAGGAGTCTTCCATCATGTCATCCATGTTAAATGTATGTATAAATTTATACATATATTTATACATATTGGGATGTCATGAATAATCATTTCAAACACCAGACAATTGAGGAGTGATTTTTCAAAAGGCCGTATTTCCATTTTTACTTGAATATCATTTTTCGACAAAATCACAAATGGTTAAAAGGCATATATTAAATGGTGAATATGTTGCACAAGAATATGATGAAGTGATGTGTTTATGTAATGACCCAGAGATGGATATCCTTAAAATATAAGCCTAACACATTTAAAAAAAAATTGATGAGCATAGTGTGTGTCCCCAGATGAGGTTGTCAATCGTATTGTATCCATGGCAACAGTACAATGCATGAGAATGCGAGTTTATAATCGACTATTTTTCACAAGTTGCACATATTATTTTGTCTCACAATCAAATAAAAAATTAAATTAAAATTAATACTTTTGTAAAAATCAGTCTCGTTCTACACCTCGAGGCAAGAGGTTGTAAATCAGCGCTAGTCAGGCGCGACCGGTCCACAACGGGGAAAGTGATAAATTAGGTCCGAAACAACGATTTAAAGTGAACCACTATCAATCGAATTCAAGCCCTGCTTAACCCGTAACCGGTACTGTACGACTTTCAGGACATAAACGGTACTAAGGGGTCTGAGAGACACCTGCCATTTAAAATTATAATTTGTATTATTTTTTTTTATATGAGGCTTTGGGGATACTAGGAAATATATATAAAGTTAGAATATCACCAAAAATAATACCTGAATAAAAGAAAAATTTAAACAAATAGGTTTTAATCAAAACATGTTCAAAAAATGCAGTAGTGCAAACTTTGTGATTAAACTATAAAAAATATTAAACCAAACAAAATAAAACAATCTTTATTTCGAAGAATATACCTTAAAAAATAACATAAACAAAAAAAATTTAAATATATTTTTTTTTAACAGCAAAAATAACTGCTTCAAACTATAGCTAATTTTTACAATTTTTTTTCCATAGTAACTTTTTTGTTTTTTTATCAAATTCTTAAAAAATTTCAAATTCTTCGCTATCTGACCCTTTAAAATTATTTTCTATAGAATCTTCACAGACAAGTCCTGAATCGCTGCTGTGATTATCTTCAACGACATAATCACTATAATGGTTATGTACTACATAACATACATAATACCTATGTAGTATACTACAGTCATCTATATCACTTCTATCGCTGTAGATTTCATAAAACCACTACATTACAGTTTCCTTAAAGCCTTTCTTATCACTTTGGACACTTTTAGAAGGCCCTTGTTGCGAATCCATAACGAATTAATTATTTTATAAAAATTACGTAAACGGTACGCAGTGGTCTACTAGACACCTCAACACTTTGACTTGTAATAATTTGTCCGTTTGACAATCCAACTTGTTCAAAGTCTGAGAGCATATTGATAACTGCTCAACTTAAAAGTATTGGAAGCGACAGATTTTTAAAACAAAAGGTGAGGGTGGGACAGGGCTTTGTTCGTTGATGAGTGTCTCCCAGACACCACAGTACCGGTTACGGGTTAAAATACCCCATAGAGACCTATACAAAATAATCTATCGGGCGCTACCGGATTCTATATGTGCATTTGTCCATGGGTTTTTCCGAATACAGCCCGATAGAAAATGTATAGGAAATTACCTATAGGCACACCATAACTTTTACATTTTCCCTATTGAGACCGATAGAAAATAACTCAATAAAGGATATATAGCTAGGGATATCCCTATAGAGCAACCATAAAACATTTGACAAAATTTTATTAAAACCTATAGGGTCCTATAGGGAAAAAACTAATTTCTACATTTATGTGTATTTTCCCCATTGAAACCGATAGCAAATAAATCAATGGTGGATATCCCTATAGAACAACCATAAATCTCAACTACGGGTCCTATACAAACCGATACACCCTATAGAAACACCATACATCCCGATACAAATATCTATCGGTTTGAACAGGGTCTCTATGGGGTATTTTAAGCAGGGAGTTCAAAAGAAAATCAATAAAAAATAAACAACTAATTAATAAATTAATAATAAATAAAATAGGAGTGAAAAGTGCGCTTTCCCCGCTTTAAGTTATATAGAGAGCGTAAATATGTGCGAGAGTGGTCACAACGAAAACTTACCTGGATTATTAACACATGCAACACGTGCCAATAACGAGTGGAAGCGGTTGAGATCAAAGAACGGCGTGCCGCGGCATGTCGCGCGACAGTCAATTCTGGAGAACATCAAGCCACTTAATTCGGATAAGTAATTTATCTAGGTAACTGCATGACTTAAAATTACTGAAATTCTAATATAAACTTAATTTAAAATTCTAGTCCAAACGCAAACTTGCAGCCGCTAATTACCATGAGTTACATTAGGTTAAAGTGACCAGATCCTAAAAGTCCAAAAGCGGGATAAAGTTACAAAATTGTCAAAAATCTTGTGTTCATTTTCAATTTAGAATTAGGGTAGTGATAAATAAAAAATACTAAGTAGTTATACAAAATATGTAATGAAATACAAAAAAAACAAAGTTTAAACTACAAGTAAAAACGACAATCAGTATTCTGATTTTAAATTTTTAATACCTATAACATTTTTATTTATATTTTTCATTTTGAAGAATTTTTTTTAATAGGGGCTTATTTTTTAACTTTAACAAATTAGTTTTTTCGGTGGTCCAAATTTTATTAATCATAGAAAAAACCCGTTTGTATATGGCAAGCCGTTTTAGTTTTTATTACACATTTATTTTATATTATTATTGTTTATAGTTCATATTATTTTATGTCTAATTTCTTTCACAGTTTTCACTATATCACTTTAATTTTTTTCTACACTTGTTTTTTTTATATATTCTTGTTTATTTATTAATATGTCCATTTTCTTTCTTCATTTCTTTTCAATGCATTTAACATTGTCCAAAATTACTTATCATCACACACAACATTATTCCTACACTTTAATCCATATATTTTTCTTAACCATTAAATATTTCATACCAGTTTTTTTATGTATGTTTTTTTTAATAAACTCAACCATGCGTTAAATGTCCAATGCCTGCTTGCAGATTTGTTTCCATATATATTTTATCCATCCGTTGTGGAGGATTCTTGTAAAATATTCAATCTGATGTAGATTTTATATATTTGATAATTACCGTCAAACGGGGCGAATCGGGACGATTTTCAGTTATTTTCCTGAATATCTTTTTATTTAAATGAGATAAATCAACAATTTTTGGAGGAAAGTGACCTCTGTTTTTACTTTTAAACAATGCTTCGTGCGAGTTTTTAGTTTTTATCGTAAACGCAAAAAAATATTTTTAGAGGTGTCCCGATTGACCCCGAATTTGGGGGTCAATCAGGACAGAGGCTTATTTGCTCGAAAATCTTCCATTAACCCCGCATAAGGGGTCAATAGGGACAAAAAATATATAAAAAACAGTTTTAATTTTTTTTATTGATGACGTCATATTAGAAAAGCCTATTTATTTAGCTCCTTCTAAAATAAAGCCCTTTATATTTTAATTGGCAGATAAAACAAGAGGGTCATCCTTTCCCTTCGGATCTGACCCAACGCTATTTGTAATGTTCGCGGGTCATAATTTTGATAAATTTTGCCCCACAGGGGTTCTTTTATCGGTGCGGACCATTGTTCCAATTGACGCCATAAAGTGACAAGAATAATAAAAAAATTGATTAAAAAAAACTATAAAACTTACAAACTTTTGCTTAGGCGCAACAGGTAACTAAAATGTTTGAGATACTCTAAATAAATTGACGGAGCTCAAAAATCATTTTAAGTACCAGTACCAACAAGAGTTTCGCGCTGTATTAAAATTACGTATTTTTTTTGTCGCGCCCACCGTAACACCATGTCCGGTGTTTATAAGCGAACTAATGCCCACATCCTTCAAGAAAATGCTCAGAGTATCTACTTTAAGAAACATCCATTTTTCGTCTTGCAAGTAAGAGTTTTTTGGATTATTAGCCTTAAAAATTTAATTCCAAAGAGACACCGAACTCACTAAAACCATAATTTAATAGTGAAGAAAATACAATTAGGTATCTATTATTACCCTGCTGAAAATGACGGATGATTGCGGATAT